AAGTATGAGACAAAAATAATTACACATAATCTTAAAATTTCTAAGGTCATAGTTTAGTCAACTAGTTTTAGGAACAAAATATATGTCTAGTCAAGCTTTATCTGAGGTCTGGTTTTTGCCCAAGCATTGTCTACATGGCACATGGCAATTAAAAGTACAAGACTGGTGGAACTAATATTCTTGGATGTTTAATAGACATACTTTGAGGCCTACACTAATCTGGTCAGAGGGACTTAAAGAACAGTTTTTTGCTCCTTGCTCTCCAAGGCTGAATAAGTCCCAGGGACTATGGAGCATCTCTCAAAATGTCCTTTAAGTGTGGTGAGTCGCCTGTCCTCTTGTTAAGGGAGGTCATGGAGACCCCACAAATGGGCTTGAACCAGTGTCTACTCTACAACGAGGAGGGTCAACTCAGAAGAAACATTTCCTCCATGCTTCCAAGTGAAGCCAGCCATGGTCGAGCAGGACCTTTGACTTATCTTCACATAGGCAGAACTGGTAAAAGAAAGGAGCCAGGAGCTCCTAACAAGCCCCTGTGACCCCTGAGGAACACATCCTCAAATGACCTTAAGAGGTAAAAATAAATTGAGTTTTTGGGCCAACTGTATGGTCTTAAACACCCAAAAGGAAAATATAACCAAAGAGTATAGTCATCAGTATATTTCTTTAAGAATTCAAGGAATTACACTTGTCAGATATTAGGCTTAAGTCTATATAAAAAGTTATTTAGACAATTATTTCTCATTGATGATTTTGTTCCTAACCAGAAAGTGCTGCTCAGATGTAAGACTTCAAATCTTGGTCTCCAGTACTGTAGTGCCCACCTGTAGGTGAGGGAGACAACCAGCTATTGTTCTAAAATGATGTATATATTTGTTTTTTTCCCCTATCCAGAAGCCTTTGAGAGGGAACTGACACTGATTCTAACCACTCCAACAGCTATCAAAATACCTGAAAGCAAATCCTGAATCCATCACTCTAGAGTCCAGCCTTGGAAGACAAAAGGAAACTGAGGAGGAACCCAATAGAGGGATGCTTTTGGAGGCTCTTGTCAAGAAATTCCAATGGATTCTCATATGAACATTTGAAAACTGCCCTGTTCTTTTTCTAGTTCCCTCTCTAGAACTTGTAATGATAATTACTTTTGCCTTTACTTCTCCTTCACATCTCCTATTCAGGATTCAAGGACTTTCTTTTCCCCCTAGAAGTAAGATTTATGCAATTTGGGAGTCTTTTAGATAGATCCACTGAAGGGGTACTCCAACTGCCTCACCCTGCATCCCTGTTCAGCATGGAAGAAGCCAGGGCGATCTGCGTCCCTATTCCCTACTAGCAATTTGGGTAACCTCTTCAGAGCATGGTGTGATAAGAATAGGAGGTAGGAATTGGCTAGGCAGTTAGGGTAAGAAGACCCCAAAGAAAAGTAACCAGCTTCTTGGTTAGAACTCACAATGTTCTTGGGCCTCTTAGCAACGTACTCCATTCCAAAGGCCAAAAATGTTGAAAATATTTGGGAACTTTTATCTAATCCTTAAAAGATTTTAGGGTTACCTCTTCAGAGGGGAGAATGTTAGAGTAGCCAAAAGCCTCATAAAAAATAAATGAATGAAAGAAGAAGAAAGAGTACATGAAGTCATCAGAAAAAAGTGATAGGGAGATATGGGAGGAGTTGGAGGGGTAGGAGTAGGCATGGATTTGATTAAAACACCTTATATGCATGTATGAAATTCTCAAATTATTCATTAAAAAAAGAAAGTTATTAAACTAAGAAGGGAGATGGTGGTGGTACAGACAGAACCTTCCAGGAAGGAGAAAAATCCCAGGCACAGGCAGGGAACCTCATGTTCATTCTGGAAGCTGAATACCTTGGTGTGGGAATGACTTTTAATTAACCCCACCAAAACTCTTGTGTCTTGCAACCATGGTGCCTGACCTCATTTTCTAGGCAGCCTAAATTTGGTGCTCCACTCAAAAAGATAATGAATGAATGGGTATGCTTGAGAGTTAACATATCAAGGCGCTGAAAAGCAGCACCTCATCTCCATTGGACACAGTGGAGCTTGGGAAGGACATGTGACCTTGGATGAATGAGATGTCCTAGAACTAGGGATGAAAAGGTCTGATAGTCTGTCCAGATCAGGGTGGGGCCAAGCTTCTACTACTCCAATTGAAGCTGCAGAAACCATTTTAAACAAATTTCTGTGTGGGGGCTGACTTAGAGACACAGTTCCAGAAACAGAGTTCAGAGACAGTTCCATCAGCACAGTTCCAGGAGACAGACGGTTCTAAGAGATCTAGGGGAAGGAGAGTCCTCTAAGTTCAGGCACACTCTTTTTTGTTTTTTGCTTTTTGTCTCTCTGTAGCCCCAGCTGGCCTGGAACTCACTATGTAGGCCAGGCTGGCCTTGAACTCACAGAGATCCTCCTGCTTCTGCCTCCTGAGTGCTGGGACTAAAGGTGTGCACCACTACGCCCAGGAAAGTTCAGGCCCACTCTTAAAAACTACATTTAAGAGTTAGATTTTTATTGTTCAGGTGATTATAATGTTGGTGTAATAATGCCACAGCTTAGTGTGGAGGCCTCCTGTACTCTTCTGAGGAGTTTGAAGTTAACTGTGATATCATGGGATGTACTGAATAATTTGAATTGGAGTTAGATGATTAGAGTTGATCATAAAAGGGATTTAAGAGACAAAACTAGAAGTAGCTATAGATATGCCAAAAGTTACAGACTAGCAAGTGCTGGAGCCACCATTCAATCCCAGACTCGTTTGGCTACAAAACTCAAGGGGTGTGGACGTGAGGACTTGGGGAGAGTGGTGAAGACCTGGAAGACTGCCAGAGGAATGGAAGAAGTTGGACATCTATAGGACAGATGAGGATAGGTAGGGTGAGTTTTGGTCCCTACTAACTTTGCAAGTTGGCAGCAGTAATTCAAGTAACTGAATTCTCTTCTCTAGTCAGGCTTAGTGGTTTGGGATAAAAAAGGAGAAAGAAGGGAGGATTGAATCCATTTTGTGGATTTCCTCCCTTTTTTTGATTTTATGAGCCAGGGTCTCACTGTGTAGTCCAGGCTAACTTGAACTCAGGATCCTCCTGCCTCAGCTTCCTGACTGCTGGGATTATAGGCATGTTCCCACTCAAATTTGTGGGTTCTTAAATTGGGTTATATTAGAAGGAAGGAGAAGTAAGAAAATAACTGAGAGAGTTTAAGGAGTTGTGTGGTAGACTGTATCACATACCACAGGATTTAGGGCAGAGGAAGGAAAAGGTGAGCCAGAAGGGCTTCTGGACTGAGGGAAAAGGGCAGGAGTAAAGGTTTACTAGATTTTTATATCTACTGATAGATAACTTGCTATTATTCCTAAGTGGTATACCAGAGTTGGTGAATTCTGAGATGGAACATGAGGCCATGGGCAATTTTAGAGGCCTGACCTCAACTTGGGTCTGGTTGATGCTTCTAAAAAGGGGTTAAAAGAGTTTTATCACACTAAATTTTTTGGTAAGTGATATGAAAGTTTTGAGGCACTGTTTCTACAAGTAATATCAGAGAAGGCCTTGGGCATATTTATCCTGGAAATCATGTTTGAAACCTACCAATTAAAAACCTTGATATACATTGGTATGGACTGTTTTTGAATTCATGTTTCTAAAATTTCTATAGCCTAGTTATATTTCTCATTTCCTAATAAATTAAACCAATTTATACTTCTTATTAAGTCATGGGAAGTAGTGTCATTTTAAATATATATTTTTTAAAATCCAGAGGTTGGGGCTGGAGAGATAGCTCAGCAGTTAAGAGCACTGACTTGTCTTGTAGAGGACCCGGGTTCTATTCCCAGCACCCACATGGTGGCTATGAACCGTCCTTAACTCCAGTTCCAGGGGAATCTGAAGCCCTCCACAGGCATTGCATGACATGGGTGCATGTACACACATGCACGCAATACACGCATACACAACTTGTGGGAGTCAGTTCTCTTCTTCCACCATGTGGTTTCTAGGAATTGAACGCAGGTTGTCAGGCTTGGCAGCAAATGCCTTTACCCACTGAGCCATCTTGTCAGCCATCCAGCCATCTTAGATGTTTTTATCCTATGTATCCACAATAATATTTTGTTATTTTCTTTTTCGTGTTTTATGTTCTTTTTGTTAACTAATCATAGCATTCTGTCATATTTAAGTTTATTTTAAAACTCTTGAAAAATCATAGCTTGGTACTGTACTTTATGCTGTCAAGAAAGTCATTTATTAGTAATACAAAAAATGTATAACATAATTAGAAGTAGTAAGTTAAGTGAGTAGTGTTGGTAGAGAATAAGATTCTAATTTCCAAGTGACTTTTACTATAGTATATTTCCTGACTTAGCAGTCCTTTTCCAAACAATGTAGTTACTTTTCCCTCCTGAAGTACCAGTCTCTTTTTAGTTCTTTTTCACCCTTTTCTGAAATTTTTGAGGTAGAAATCACATAAAAAACAAGTAGGTTAATTTTAGTCCTCCATGAACTTACACTGGGCAAATATTTCTTATCTCTTATTCTACACAGGTCTAGTGTTAGTGTGGTGCCGGCCACTTTCTGTTTACTGCTTTGTTCTTATGACCCACTTGAAGTCTGAAGCCTTGCTCTCTGGATGCTTTTATGAACTTCATGAAGTCATGTTGGAGGAAAATAAAAAAGTGACTGTTCCTTTTCATTTTCCATCACAAACAGGAGAATATTACCACATTTACATTTTGGGCAGTTAGTACTTGTTACCCAGCTTCCATTTTGGTTTCTGGTCATTAGGAAACATTACCCTGGCTTTGATGATGGTTGGCCGAGGATCCAAGATACCCTGCATCTTTCTCAGTGCAGGCACAACAAAGAGATTGCAGGTGACCACAGCTGATACAGGATTCCCTGAAATTCAACCAAGTAGTTATTTATATTATACCACATAAAAATTCGTTAAGTAATTATATATGTGTATACCTTCGGATATGACAGAACCCAATGAAAGTGACTATTAGTCTTTTTCTTCTGAATCATTTTGAATTTGACAGAATGGCAGATGTGAGGCAGAGTGAACCACGTGCTATAGAAGGTATGAACCTTTGGGTCTTCCAAGAAAACACAAGTTCTGATACTCAGAAGCTCTTTGACACTCCTTCTGCTTTCCTGAGAGCCATTGATCGAAAACCATTGCTATCCTTAAGTGTGTGTGTGTGTGTGTGTGTGTGTGTGTGTGTGTGTGTATATATATGTAGGGTTGTGAGGTGGTGGAGACTGAGCCCAGGGCTGAGTTCGTGTGAAGCACATACTTTACCACTGAGTATCAACTCCTTAATCTTGATAAGTTAAATGTTTCTTATATCTTCTTGTTATTTTTAAAGCATTTTTATTGTCGGAATATGCTTGGTATAAAAAAAATAGAAAATATAAATAAGCGTAAGGAAGTTTATCTATGATCATCTCTATCCAGAGATATCTTTAAATTTTAAACAAGAACCAAAGGATTACTTGAATACAATTATGTATCATATTTGGAACAGGGCCTTTAAGGTGGTGATCGAAGCTTGGTGAAGACATAGCTTGGAGAAGACATAGGATAGGGCCCTCATGCAATACAAAAAGCAGAAGAGATCTGAGAAGAATACATGACCGAGGAAAGGCCAAGGGAGTCAGAAGGCGGCCAACTGTAAGGCAGGCAGGAAGGCCTCATCAGAGGTCAGTACTGCTGCCATCTTGAGGTTTGGACTTTCAGCTTCCAGAACTATGAGGGAACAAATCTGTTGTCTAAATTACCCATTCTGGGTTTGTCTATGGCAGCTGAACAGTTGTATCAGACTGTTATAAATACCAAGTTCTTTTAAAGCTATCAGAAGAATTTCAGAAATTCTTCTGATTCTTTCCGAGAATAGACAAATCTAGGTGGGTCATGTGCTTCAGAGTGAAAGAGGGCAGCTATGCAAAGTAAAAACTGGGTCCAAACAACATATTTTGTTTGCATTTTATATTAACTAACTGATCAAGCTGCACAACTTTGTTAACTCCCAAACTTTTTTTTTTTTTTTTTCCCTTTTGAAACAGTCTTGCTATGGAGCTGCAGTCTGGCTTTGAGTTCATGGGAATCCTTCTACCTTAGTTGTGTGTTTTCTTTATTTGCACAATCTAGATTAATAAAAGGTATTGAAGACGTGCTTGGATTATAGTTGTACACTACCACACTTGGCCTAACAAACCTTTTGAATTGAACTCTGCTCATCCACAAAATGAAGGGTTAGGACTACATGATTCTCCAAATCTCTACTAATTGTAAAATCCCAATTTTAGTAATTATTAGTAATTATTTTGTGTAGTTGTATATAACACTGCATGTTTACATTGGTAGTGGGGAATGGGCTATTTTAGTTTTTGGTTCCCTTTCCCTAAATGCTGTCAATTCCATCCTCGAAGTAAGAGACATGGTCAATTTATAAAAGTACATCTTCAATTCTCTTGTACTGACAAAATAGTTAAGGTAATTTTATCCTTTGTTTACTAGCACATATACATCATACATAATAGTGGGTTTAGTTATGATAATTTCATGCATGTATTTACTGTACTTCATCATATCCCTCCACTGCCTTCTGTTGTTTCTCCCTGTCCCACTGTTTCCCTTCCTCTTGCTGTGCTCTGGCAAAGACTTCAAGCACTATACTGAGTAAGAGTAGACATCCTTGCCTCATCCTTAAAGGATATAAATTTAGTTTTATCCTATTTAGTATAATGTTTGAAATATTTTTCATAAACAGCCTTTATTATGCGGACATACTTTGCTTCTATTCCTACTAGTTTCTTCATGGTTTTTCTCACAAATGATGAACTTTGTTAGAGGTCCTTCCTGCATCTATTGATATCATCGCTGGGATGCAAGTTTTCAAAGTATTCCCTTATGATCCTCTGAGTTTCATTGGTATCTGTTATAATTGCCAGTTTTCATCCATAATTTTATTAATTTGGGTCTTCTCTCCTTTTTTCATTGATTCATGTTTTGCACTGTTCTTTTAGTCTCCATTTTATTAGTTCCTGCCCTAACCTTTTTTATGTCTTTCCATCAATTAATTTTGGGTTTGGCTTGTTCTTGTTCTTCTTAGACCTTGAGATATATCAAGTTATTTGAGACCGCCCTGATTTTTTTTTAAAATTTATTTATTTTATGTGTATGAGTGTATTGTCTGCATGTACATGAGTATACCCATGTCGTGCAATGCCCCGGAGGTCAGAGGAGAGCTTCAGATTCCCCTGGAACTGGAGTTAAGGATGGTTCATAGCCACCATGTGGGTGCTGGGAATCGAACCCAGGTCCTCTGCAAGAGCAGTCAGGGTTCTTAACCACTGATCCATCTCTCCAGCCCCGACCTCCCTGATTTTTAAACATAAGCTTTCATAGCTATAAACTTTCTTTGCTCTCAGAAGTGCCTTTATTGTATTCCAAATGTTTATAAAGTTAGGCTTTTATTTTTATTTGATTTTAGGAATTTTTAAATTCCCTCTTCAGTTTCTTCAATAACCCATTCATCAGTGAAGAATATACTAGTCAGCATCCTTGTTTGTATAGTTTCTCTTACTATTGACTTCAAGTTTTATTCCATTGTAGTATGAAAGAATAAGTTATTTTAAAATTGAATTTGTTAAGACTTGCTTTATGACTGAACATGTGACTTATTTTGGAAAATATCCCACGGACAGCTGAGTAGAATATATATTCTGCCATTTTTGAATGGAACATTGATGTCTGTTACTTCCATTTGATCCAGAAGGCAGTTTCACTTTAAAGTTTCTTTGTTGACTTTTGTCTGGATGCTGTATCTATTACTGAGAGTGGGGACTAAAGTCACTTACTACTTTTGCATTTAGACCTATCTGTCCCTTTAGGTCCAAGAGTGTTTGCTTTATGAAACTGTGTGCATCAATCTTCATTGCATACACATTTATAATCATTGATCTTATTGATGGATTGTTCCCCTTATTAATATACACTGACTTCCTTTATTACTTTTGACTGATTTGGCCTTAAGTCTATTCTGTCAGATATGACCTCAGGTACCCTTGCTTGCTCTTGGCTTCCATTTGCTTGGTATATCATTTTTCTATTTTTTCACTTTCATCTCTGTATGTCTTTGCCAGTGAAGTGTGATTTCGGCAGACAACAATTGGACCTTGTATTTTAAAATCTTTAAGAAAATTTTTAAAATTTATTATTTCTATTTTATATGTATGAATGTATTGCCTACATGTGTGTAACTGCACCCTTGTCATGCAATGCCCATGGAAGTCAGAAGAGGGTGTCGTATCCTCTGGAAGTGGAGTTATGAATGGTTGTTAGCCACCATGTGGGTACTGGGAATAGAACCCGGGTCTTCTGCAAGAGCAGTCAGTGCTCTTAATCACTGACCCATCTCTCCAGTCCCAATCTTGTATTTTTTTTAAAAAAATTTCTTTTGTCTTCTTAACATTTAAGGTGTTAGCCAGGTGTGGTGGCGCATGCCTTTGATCCCAGCACTCCGGAGGCAGAGGCAGGTGGATCGTTGTGAGTTCAAGGCCAGCCTGGTCTACATAGTGAGTTCAGGTCATCTGGGACTACAGGGAGACCCTGTCTCAAAAAGACAAAATTTTTTTTAAGAAGTTATTTATGCATATGTGTGTAGGCCAGGTGTGTGCAGGTGCCAGAGAAGGTCAAAATAGGGCATTGGATTCCCTAGATCTTGAGTTACTGGAAGTTGTGAGCTGCCTGACATGGATGCTGGGACCCTAACTCAGGTATTCTGGAGGAGTAGCAAGGACTTTTAACTGCTGAGTCATGTCTCTAGTCCAGGACCTTGTATTGTAATGTAATCATCTAGTATACATCTTTTAGTTGGAGAGTTAGGACCATTTACATTTAGGGTTATTACTGAGAGGTAAGCTTTTTTTTAATTGCAGAAAGTTATGAGTGATACTAATAACTTCAGTAGAAACACAGAAGACTTTTTTCTCTCCTTGCTATAGTCAAACATCCCTGATTGGCTTTAAACTTATGATCCTCTTTCCTCAGCTTCCCAAGAGCTTGGAATATAGGCATGCACTACTATACTCCCATGTGACAGCAGAATCTTAATGAATACTAATTACTTTTCCCTTACTTCAAAATACATTACCAGATGATTATAAAATTGCTGTAATACTTAAGCTTTTTTAAAAAAATGGTTTCATAGACTAAAAAGAACTGGAATGATTACTAAAAAGTTGTAAATTGTAATTATTTCTAGGTAGTGGTTATGATTATGTATAACATTTCTTTATTCTTATATTCTTACCTGTATCTTTTTCTTTTCTTTTTTTTTTCTTGGTCTCTTTTAGACAGGGTCTCCTTATAGCCCCAGCTAGTCTGGAACTCACTATGTAGACCAGGCTGGCCTTGATCTTACAGAGATCTGCCTACCTCTGCCTCCTGAGTGCTGGGATTAATGGCGTGTGCCACTACCCCCAGCATCTGTATTTTCTTTTTAAATATTTTATTTGTTATTTTACTTTATGTGTATGAGTGTATTGCCTGCACGTGTGTAAATGCACCTGTGTTGTGCAATGCCTGTAGAGGTCAGAAGAAGGTGGTCAGACCCCCTGGAACTGGAGTTACAGATGGTTGTTAGGTGTCAGGTGGGTGCTGGAATTGAACCTGGGACCTCTGCATGAACAGTCAGTGCTCTTAACCCCTGAGCCATCTTTCCAGCCCCCTTAGCTGTATTTTCTAAGTTTTAAAAGAAAGCTTTAAGTTTTAATTTATTTATTTGTGTGTGTGCGTGTGTGTGTGTGTGTGTGGTGTATACGTGCATGCATGAAATGGCACATGTGAGGGGGACACAGGACAACTCCAGGGAGTTGCTTTTCTCGTTCCACCATATGGTGGAACTCAGGTTATTTGGGTTGATGGTAGGTGCTTTTACCCACGAACCCATCTTGCTGAGCCCTTATTCTAAGTTTTTACAGAGAACACATAATTTTAAAAAGCAAAAAAAAAAAACACCCCAAAACAAATAAATATATTATACTGGCTAAAATTTAAGATTGGTGAAAACCTTTAAGTATATGGTCTTCAAGGAAAGCAGAAATACACTTAGAAATTGAAGCTCCCTGTATACTGAACACCTTTGCTAGTTCTACTACCTGAACTGTGAGCTGCTGCTGCCCTCTTTTGGCTCATTCAGGCTTAGCAGAGGGAGATTCAACTAGAAGTAGAGATTTGAAGAGGGGTTTTAATTTTGTAGAATTTTTTTTGTAGATGTTTCATTAGAAATGAAATTTTGTATATTTCATTAGAAATGGTGAAGAGAGTTTCCACAAAGATTTGTTCTAGTATCACTGATAAACTAGTTTGTAGTTGAACTCACACCTTCTGTAGAGAAAGTAGAGACTCTTTTAGACAAAATAAAGCTAGGAAGAATAGATTTTTTTTTCATATAATGGTTTTCAGAATGACTGAGGAAACATTAAAGGCCGAAGGTGTTAGCTGTATGCCACACATACATTTTGGAGGTTGTCGTATGTGTGTGTGCCCTCAGTATTTTTTGTATAATACCAATTTAGTATCTTTTATGCTTATAGATAGGGGCTTAAAATGCTGTTAACATTTAAAGTTCTTCTGCCTGCATCTACTTCTTATAGCTCTATTTTGAAATTTGCTTAATATAAAAAAATAAATCTCTCAAACCTATGAGATTTGTGGGTCTTAAAGGACAAGAAGTTACTTTCTCTGAAGTAATCTGTGAGCAGAATTATTACAGGTTTTAATTTTTTTTAGTATTTTATTTATTATTTTTATTTTATGTGTTATGAGTGAATTGCCTATGTGTGTGTTAGTGCACCCATGTCGTGCAATGCACGCAGAGTTGGGAGAGGGCATTGGATTCCCTGGAACTGGAGTTATTGATGGTTGTTAGCTGCCTTGTGGGTGCTGGGAATGGAACTGGGTCTTCTGCAAGAGCAGTTAGTGCTTTTAACCACCGAGCCATCTCTCTAGCACCACCCCCACACCCTTTTTTGAGGCTAGATCACACTCAATAGCCAAGGCTGACTTGGAATTCACTATGCAGCTAAGGCTGGCCTTGAAATTGTGGTGATTTCCCTGTCTCAGCCTCTCCAGTTTTGGAATTATAGGTATAAGTCGTCACATCCTAAAGAATAATTTTTTTTGTCTTTTTGAAGCAGGGTCTCCCTGTAGCCCCAGCTATCCTGGAACTCACTATGTAGACCAGGCTGCCTTGAACTCACAGAGATCCGCCTGCCTCTGCCTCCCGATTGCTGGGACTACAGGTGTGTGCCACCATGCCTGGCTCTAAAGGATAATTTTTAAAGTTAAGAAAAATAATAAGTAGATCTATGAAGGTTTTAAACTGCTTTAAAATTTATTAAGACTCATAAAGACAAAAATTCATGGATAAAAGTAATAAAATCTGAATTTTAAAAATTCTTGTTGGGGCACACACCTTAAATCCAGCCCTTGGGAAGCAGAGGTAGGCAGATCTCTGTGAGGCCAGCCTGGTCTAATATCAAGTTCCAGGCCAGCTGGGGCCACAGGGAGACCTTGTCTCAAAAAGACCATATTTTACAAAAAATCTTATAAATTGGACAAACTTGGTTTTTCTACAGTCTGAACACATAAGTTTCTACTCACATGGGAGTAAGGTGGTGATGGTGCTGTCAGACTGATGATGTGTGAGGCCTAGCTGAGATCTATCAATATTAGCAGTCCTGTCTTCCTGCTCCTTTTTTCCCTAACAATCCCAAACTATGCAAGGACCAAAGGTAGATCTGCTCAAACTTTCTTTGTAGCTCAGGCGGTCCTCATTTCATGATCTTTCTTCCTGAGCCACCTTAGTGCTCTAATTACAGATATGCATCACAATATCTGGCTATACTTTCTGATTTAATATTTCATGGTTGACAATACTTCTAGCTGTGGGAGCTGATCAGACTGCTAACTCTGACCAATTTCCTATAAGAAAAAGGCAGCTGGCAGAGGAAGGTCTAGTGATAGCTGAAAACTGGTCATCCTCTTAGGGCTAGGCCTGCACTCTGGAAGATATTATCTGGTTTGATCAGATATTAGGTCCGTTTTATAGGTGAAGAAACAATATCTACAGTATTAGAACTTCAGTCTAGCTGGTCAGATTCAAAATCAAGTAATATGATTAGAGACTGGTCATCTGAGAAGCTCCCCCACCCCCCAAATTTGGTCATTTTTTCTAGAAAAAGGAGAAAACAATTTTAATGATTCTTACCTGGTAGTGCAAAAATAATTTTTCTTACACCATCAATATCCAAAGTTGCAAATGTTGTTGGCAAGCTGGAAATAAAAAAGAGTGTACTTGTTTGTGACTGCTATGGAACACGAGAGGTGAACTGAGCACTCTAGCTCTTTGTTTTGTGGTTATGCCTGCAGATCACCTATCATAGAAAGTACTTTTCTGTTGATTTGCCTTTAAATCTTCTTTTTTTTTGAGACAGAGTCTCTCTGTTTGGTCTGGAACTCACAGAGATCTGCCGGCCTCTGCCTCCCGAGTGCTGGGACTAAAGGCATGTGCCACCATGCCTGACTAAAATTTGCCTTTAAATCTTTACACTCTGAAATCAATCTTTTTAGTACCATCTATTTTCAAGTAAACCAAATTTCCTGATTTTCTGTTTTACTTTTCCCCTCCTTGCCAGTTCTATAAGAATGTATTCCAAAATCGTGTGATTCCCAATTTTCCTACTCTTCTACTTAGTGTTTACAGTACTTTTGCTAGAGATTTAAGTCAATCTTATTATTCGATAATATAAAGGTGCTTTTGAACTATCCAAATAAAAACATTCCTTGGCTAGAACAAAGTTAAAGTAACAATAATAAATATTATCAAATTTTCCTTTCTCAAGATTCTGATATAAGCTCTTATAGGGAACATGGGACAGGTGAGTGGTGTGGAGGGGTAGGCAGTTGAGGAGTGATTTTTTTTTTGTTAATTTACTTTTCTTTTATGTGTATGAATGTTTTGCCTGCATGTAAGTGCACCTGTGCAATGCACTGTCCACAGAGACAAGAAGTGGGTGTCAGATCCCCCTCAAACTGGAGGTAAGCACAGGTGTTAGCTGCCATGTGTGTGTGGGGAACCGAACCCAGTGCTCTTAATGGTTGAGTCATCTCTTTATCCCCCAGTGACCTTTTTCTATTATTTATCCTTTTGTAGAATTTTTGCTATATAGTTTATATATTAATGAAATCTGAATGATGCAAAATCCTCAGGGAATGCTGAAACTTCCATATAGGCAAAAAGTAACCCTTTAAAGCACCCAAATTATGTTTGTTTTTGCCATTAATTAAAAAAATTAACATCTATTGTGGGTGTTTGTGCCACAGCTCATGTGAGAGTCAATGCTCTCCTATCATGGGGGTCAAGGCGTTTGAGCTCAGTGCATCAGGCTCGATAACAAGTGCTACTGAGCCATCTCTCTGGGTCCTTGGCTTGATCTTTTAAAAATAGATCATTCCCTCATTATCCTTTACAATAATATCATGACAGTGACATTTTTGACGATTTATAGCTATCATTGATATGTCATAGTTCAGTGATGGTAGATTCAGATCACAAGGATACTTTGGGTTGTTTTATAAACAATAATTCCATGTTGCTATGATCCTATGTTTCTCATCTGTTTTTTCCTAGTTTTTAGAATAATAATAATGAAAAATTAAATTACTACTTAAAAGTAACACATATGTATCACGTACATTATTTCATGTAAGTCTCACAAAATCCCCAAAAGTGACAAATTGTTATACCATTTAATAGACGAGGAGACTGAAACCAAGAGATACTAAACAATTTGGCTCAATCTCACTTGGTTACTAAGTGGGGAAACAAAGATTTGGAACCAAGGTTGTTTTAACTTTACGGTTCATATTAGATAAAGTTAGTATGGGTATTCTATGAAATGTTATTACATGGACTTTGGGACCTCTGTTTTTTCTTATTTCCCCAATTCTTTGCTGTATTTTAGAAAAATGAGATTTGACTGTCATATCAATTTATAGGTATGTAACTTGGCAACAAATATTCTCGTGTTATGAAAATAACTTCCCAGATGCATTCTAGAGAACAGCTAGATTCACTACAGATGAGCCATAGCAGGTCTGGTTGATAATCTCCAAGTGATTTTCTGAGTATTTTTTAAATTGTGTATGTGTATGTGCATATGTATATGTGCATGTGGAGGCCAGAGGTAGATAGTGTCTTCTTCTGTGGCTCTCCATCTTATTTTTGAGACAAAGTTTCTAACTAAACCTTTAGCTCAGTGGCTAGACTGACTGGTCAGCAAACCCTGGGCATTCTCTTGTCTCTGTCTTCCAACACTGGGATTACAGGTGTATATTACTGATCTCAGCTTTTTATGTAGGTGCTAGGAATCTAAACTCAGGTCCTATACTTATGCAGCAAACACTTTACTGACTGAGCCATCTCCTTAGCCCTGGGTATCTTTTTCTTTAAAACCAAAGACATAATTATATTTGGAATGCATTGTATATGGAAAGAACAATCTACTTGAATATTTTCTGCTCCTTTTTTTAATATTAGTAAGTAGCAATTACCACTAAAATCTTATTACTTTTAGAAAAGTATAAAATTCTGGCCAGTTAAAAAAAGCCCACTTAAATTTCTAAGCCACTTTGTTATAGCAAACAAGTACATAGATAATTGTATTTAAAACCAACATAGTGTATAAGGGCACTTTAAATCACCTTTTACATCTTATATTTACAACAAAACATTTTATGCTCATCCATTACCATCACAAGTGTCTTAATCTGGAAATTTTTGTTAGCTCTGGAAAGCTATTTCCTTGGAACTTAGCACATACTGTTTATTCTCTTGAGGCAGAATGTAACAGCATTTATATAATGACTGAGGTACCAAAGTGATATGACTTTAAAGAAGAATAAACATTAGGAATTGAAGAACTAAAGTTGAAGAGAATGGCTAACAATCAAGTGAAAAGAAAAACAGTACAAAAATCACCATCATAGGTGCTGCATTTAATATATATTACACAAATAATTCTATAGAGGTGAGAGCAGCTTATATCATCTTCTTCCCCACAACAAAGGGAAACATCAAAGCAAGTTCTGAGATTAGTGAGAAGCACAATGATATGCTTCAGGATGTCCTGTGTAATCAAACCACTACTGTCCAGAGAGATTTGGGGGGAAATGGAGCATACAATGTTAGTTTATGACAAAATGTTATTCTTAAATGTTTATTTATTTTGCATGCCATGTGTGTGTGTGTGTGTGTGTGTGTGTGTGTGTATGTGTGTGTGATGTGTACATGCCATGGTACCTTGTGTGTGGAGGTCAGAGGACAACCTTCAGGAATTGGATCTCTTTCTCGACTTCTATCATATGGGGTGGTGGCAAGGCTTGGTGGCAAGTGCCTTTACCCACTGAACCATTTTGCCGGCTCAAAATGTTATTCTTAATAGAATGATCTAATCTCACAGTTTCAACAACAAAAGGGTTTTTCTAGCAATAGATATATTTGAGGATACACTCAACAAGCAAGCATAGACATATACTGCAAAGAACTGTAAGTCATAAATTGTGGAGAACACTTTAGGGTTAATCTTAGTTTTGTACCAAATAAGGCCAAATTGTGTAGGCAAAGCCTCATCTTTGTCTTCAAACTGAAACCTGGCATTCAAAAAACTGGGACTATTAGGAGAGCTGGATGACACTCTGGAGAACTGGGTTCAGAAATGTGCTTTTGTTTCCCAAGGCTCACTTGTAACAACTATGAAGCCTGCACTCTACTCTCTCTTAGGGCTCATAAGAGCCACCAGTGTAATTCTGAGCTAAGAATCATTGCTGAAACACTCACCCATACACTGAGGTCTGAACATGAAATCAGAGGTTCACTGAGTAGCAGGGGTCTGAGAGGACAGCTTTACTGCTTGAAGACCATATGTGTTTCCTTAACACCACTGTTCAGCATTCTTTGAGGATTTATAACCAATTATAGGACCTCCCTTCTATACTTACAGGTTATTAGTTTTTAGCTATTCCTATGGGTTATTAGCTTTTAGGAAAGGTGCAAAATCTTGGTATATAACTGTTTTTCTTTCTTTTTGGGAAAGAACAGGAAGCAGTGTTAAACACCATTATAAGGTATTCTTGTGAAGGTAAAAGAAATTGAGTCTGTATCTAATTTAGTCTTTAGAGCTAACGTTTAACCTATAGACTATACAGAAGATACAGGAACATGTTAAATATAACTGAAGGGAGCAATCAGTCAAATCTATTAATCGGAACAAGTGATTTAGTTTCTCCAAGTCACTGACAAAAATAAAACAAAAAAACTACCAAGACACCCACCACCATGAGACCCCAAATACATTAACAAAAGGGGGAAAAGAGGAATAAATATTTTCATTTAATAGAGACTTAATAACTAAATTCAGAATAGTTCTCACTTGAATCCTGAATCAAAACAATTATATAAAAGGCATTCTTTCTCTTATTTGGGAGAATTTGACTATAATGAGGATATTAGAAGATATGAATATATTACTTATTTTGTTAGGTCAGACAATACTATTGCATTTATGTTAGAGAATGTTCTTGTTCTTATGATTTATCAAAATAACATGATATCCAGAATTTGTTTTAAAACAATCTGGTTCTCTCGCTCCCAAAAGAGGTTGGGGAGACTGAGGAAACAGACGAAAGCATGTTGGTAGCTACTAATCTTAGCGATGAACACTTGGGGGCTCACAGAATTTGCTACTTTCATGCATATATGAGAATCTCCATGCTAAACTATTACTTAAAAGGTTGAAGGAGTATGGAGAAAGAGAAAAAGAAGAAGGTGTTAGTATACAGTCATTAAAAAGGGGACACAAGCTGTATGCAGTGGCACACACCTTTAATCCCAGCACTCGGGAGGCAGAGGCAGGTGGATCTCTGTAAGTTCGAAGCCAGCCTGGTCTACATAGTGAGTTCCAGGACAGCTGGGGCTACAGAGAGACCCTGTCTCAAAAAGACCAAAAAAAAAGGGGGGGGGGACACAAACTTGACTCGATAGACCTTAACATAAATGACAGAATGCATGAAATCTGGAGGGTTTTGGGAGGTGCCGATGGGGGAGGGAGTTGAAATATAATTAAGACGTATTGTACGAAAATCACAAAAATTCAAAAGAAAAAAAGTAAAACAAGTTGGAAAAGTTTCTTTGCTTTGTTTATACTAAGCTCATTGATTCATAAGGAAGATGAAATTTCACTTCAAACTGGAACTGCATATATGCAAAGGATTTTAGCACTAATTTTTTTTTATTAAAATAAGTAACCCACAATAGAAAGTGTAAGAAAAAAAAGCATTTAAAATTTGATTAGTTAAAGCAATCCAAACCAATCCCATATAGTAGATAAAATGATTTTCATACCCTGGCTTCATAAAAACCCTGCCAAAATGGATCTGAGCATGAAGATCAATGTCCAGCACCTGCTTGAGATAGTCCTGCAAACATTAAAAAACAGTCACTTTATTTTCAAGCATTTTAATAGACTTTGAACACATTAATTAAGATAAAATTAGTTTATGATGGAAAAGAACATCTTTGCTATTTTAAAGAAGGTGATCTGTGTAACATAACAATGCCTCATTCACTCACTCATTTATTCATTTAATAATTATTTTGGGGGTGCTTGGTGTACACAGAGTATCAATCTAAGCTCAGGGGGATAGAACCTGAATAAAAGAGACAATGCCCCTGCCTTTATAGATATATATTCTGGAGTTGGAGATGGTCCACATGCCTGTAATCCCAGAGTTTGGGAGGAGGAAATAGTCTCGCAAGTTCAAGGCCAGCCTGGACTATATAGTGACATCCTGCTAAAAAAAAAGAAAAAAAGAAAAGAGCA